AGCTTAACCTGCTGCAGTAGCCAGAGCGAAGTCGGGCTAATGTGGTTCGAGTTTCACGAGGTATACGAAGCTTTGTCTCATCCACGTCAGGTGGTTGTGTTCCCAAAACGGCATTCACAGGTCGAGAGCCAGTGTAGGTCAATACTGACTCCGTACAAATGCCGTTTATGGCCTGTCGGGTGCAGAGGTTCCTCTGGACCTCGCCCGCCAGTTCATATAGTTGCCTTCTGACGTGCCTTAACGAAAGCTCCGCCGCATGCGGGCGTCTGTTCGGGTGCCCCCGTTGGTTACACCCTACTAGGAAATACTTGCAGATCATTGTGTTATACTCCCTGACGGGGAGCATTTCAGCCTCGTGGTGTAGATGGTGTTGTGGCGACAACAGAAGGCATCTGGTTACTGTCTGGAGTGCCGTGTTTAAGCAAGTGTGTAGCTTCGTTCACTGCGTCCTAATAGTCCTTGGCGACCACACAGGCGCTGCATAGTTTAGAACCGGCCAGCCAATGGCCTTATATATTGCCAGCAACGTTTCTTTGCCTTTGCCCCAGGTACTGCCGGCTAGCGAATTGAGGACCTTGTTGCGGCTCTGCACTCTATTGACAATGCGGTTGTATGCACCGATAAGGAGAGCATACTGTCGAAGGTAATTTAGAGGATTTTCGGAATATTCACCGTCGGAATTTGTACGCCATCGACGTGAACTCCCAGCTGTAGTCTGACCTCCTTCCTTCAGGTGGTAAAAAGGGTTGCCGAGGATTTTGTAAGGGAGAGGGTTAGGCTCCGTGCAGTGACGAAGCGAGAAAGTTCCGAAAGGTAATCGGTTACTTTCGTGCAATTCCATGCCCAGGTGCCATTGTCGAGGCAGACGTCAGCATAAGAGACAATCGAGACTGCCTCTGGTAGTTGAGGGAACTTCGATATATAGTATGTAATTGACCAGTACCGGGGAAGTGACAGCACCCTTTGGGACCTCTGTTTAATTTTTCTTGGCTTGCTAGTTTTCTCTCTAAACCTCTCTGACCACCGTTTGAGTCCCTATGGGAGAGCGGAAGACGCCATGTCTTATAGTATTGTAAAGTGGCTGACGGTATCGAACGTCCTTTACAGATCCAACGCTATTAGGATTGTTCTCTCACAAGTTATCTGGGCGTTCAGCCGTAATCGTCATCTACGACGCTGCTATAATCAACACCACAAGGAAGCGGCCTCAACGGCTTAATGTACCCCAAGACTGTAGTAGGTAAAGTCGCTTTTGTCTCACACTTCGATTCTCTAACAACATCGATTTTCATGGGTGGGCATGGAATATTGATAGCGGCTATCAATAACGCGTTCCACGATTTTCAGCTTTTGAGCCTACTTAGCTAGACGATTTATCTTATATATCAATGGCAAGCGCAGGTCTGATAAATAGCATAACGTGACGACATACGCTATCGTTAGTCAAACCCGACGTAGATCGAAATAGTAGACATTTCATTCGGGAATCACATTTTGTTGGACACGTATCATTAAATTAGTCTCCGCAGCCAGCAATCTATGTATACTGCATCTACGCATTGAGATGGATATCGAGGAAGGTAAAAGGCTCCAAAGCCATTGGTATGGACGGAATATGCATATTGATGGTGAAAAAGGTTGCGAAGCCGGGAGTAGACTCCTTTAGGCACGGGATCAATGTCAAGCATTTTTGCCCAAGAAACCATAGCTCTGAAATGAATTTCGAGCCAGCGATTTTTTCTATCTAGTTTTTTTTTTCAAAAAGTGGCTCACCTGTTGAAACAGTTGTATTGAAAACTAGCCAAAATGTGTATCTGGGGGTTTTTGGGGTTGAGGAATCCATTTAAGGTATTCATTTTTTCTTTAAAAAAAAAAAAAATAAAAAAAAAAAAAATTTCTAAATACACAAATAAAAAAAATTTCAACGCTGAACATTTTGGCTAATTAAAAATTGAAGTTTCATTACGAGAAAGTCAAATTTCGTGGATTTTCGCAACAATGTTGTCCATTTTCGGAAAAAAGGCCTTAAAAGGAAAAAAAAGTACGGAGGCGCCGCCTGCCGGCCCTCAAAAGAAAAAATTAATGCCATAAATGGATTCTTCGACCACAAAAACACCCAGATACACATTTTGGCTAATTTTAAATACAGCTGTTTCAACAGGTTGAGTCACTTTTTGAAAAAAAAAACTAGATTGAAAAAATCGCTGGCTCGAAATTCATTTAAGACCTATGGTTTCTTGGGAAAAAATGCTTGAAATTACCCATATAATCATAATCGCGATGTGCCTCTGTTATTTTTTTTTTGGCCCCTATATATCGACCCGTCCTAATGTATAGGTATGTGAGTATAGTGTCGCAATAAAGTTCTCAAATCTCTCGTTGGCGCAACTCGGTACAAATAAAATAAAACTTTGTTGTTGGTTGACTAGTGTGGGATGTCTTCTGATGACGCCAGAATACCATTTGCATGGACTTCGGCCGGAAAATAATATTTGCCTGTATCTATAACATCGCAAGATTTTGGTTGACGCCAGAAAAAATATCTAACTTTTACCTGCGCTTGGAGGATATCTTCGCAAGTATTTATAAGGTAATCATTATGAATGCGGAAAGAAGGAAATTCTTAAAGTTCAACCTTTTTCTTTAATGCATTAACGTTTACTTATACCTTAGACTTGGGAGGATATCCTTCATTTTAGATAACTGACATAACTTCCATGGGCCCTTGGGGCAAGATTGAGCGTTTTTGAACTTGCTGCCGAGATAGGTCGATCGTCCACTCAGGTGTTGATATTAAAGGTCTGCATCGGAATTCAGTTTGCTTCACTGTGAAGTTTTTTTCAAATATGTAAACTACTCATACTCTAACAAATAGGGCATGGAAGGAAGAGAAATGAAGATATTGAGCGCTGTATACATAAAAAAAAGTACTCAAACAAATTATGTTCCGAAAAAAAGAGGAACATAAATCAGCAGTACCATGCTGTTAAACTTCCACAAAAAAGATGTTCCTTCACAAGTATTTTTTGAGTATTTTTGGAAGTTTTCGTTTAATGCTACGTAATGTTAATGTTAGAGCTGACTCTTATGTTAAATAGCAAACGTGGAGAAACAATGTTGGGCGCTCCGAATATTTAGCCAACAGCATATTTTTATAAAGAAAGTGGACTCATTTTATATATAGATAACCATTTTCATTTTTACAATACGATACTTTCATTTCCCAATACCAGGCGCACATACATATGAAGTAGCAACCCAACAAGCAAAATAAACTTAAAGAAAGTTTTTTTTAAGTTTTCAATTATAAACATTAAGCTTACAAAACGTTGATTTTTTGTTTATAAAACGCTTGAAAGTAAGCGTAATATAATCGAAAAGGAACATTGGTTATAAGCGTAGAAATATAAACTTGTAATAAATGTTCAAAAGAAAGCTTTTTATAAGCGTAAAAGTGTAAACTTATAATAAAGGTTCAAAAAAAGTTTTATATAAGCGTATCAATATAAACTTACTAAAAATTTTCAAAAGAAAGCTTTTTATAAACATTTTTATAACCCTTTATTTAAAGATATTTCATTAAAACCTCATACATAGATTACTTAACATCTAGAAACTAAACGAAATGCGAATTTTCGGCGGACTCATCTACAGTCGCGAAAATATAAATAGGGAATAGACATTTTAGCATACAAATTCACAATAACACATACAAATTAAGCATAAAAAAGTTAATTATTACATCTTGTTGCGTGCTTTCAATTACTTGCGGTTATTGGCAAATTGGAAAAGGGACATCGATGCAGCTATATATTACGCTTTATCGCCGCCATTCTCATTGATGAACTTTTCTGAAAAAAATTTAATACATTTTTAATTGAATGTTAAACTAAGAAAGGATAAGGGGAACTCATCATTTGAAGACTCGAATGCTCCACCGATTAGCGCAGCGGGTCCTGGATTGGATTTTCTTGTTTTACCGCATTGGTTTTATTTAATTTTTTCTTTTAATAATATATTTTAAAAAACGTAAACACGTCACTTACGATTGAAAAAATTTTATATTTACTACTTCATGTCGTTGGCATTTACATTTCATTTATAAGTTTAAGTTATTTATAAACATTCGCTCTCAAAACTTATTAAAGGTTTGTTTGAAAAAACTTTTAATAAGCTTAATATTAAAAATGCTTATTTAACGCTTATTATAGCAAACTTAATTTAAGTTATTTTTAAAAACGTTTACTGAAATGCTTGTTGGGAAGCTTTCCGTACGCACACATTTGTTTGTAGAAGTTTTTAATTCGTTTGTAGAAGCCTTTGGAAATTCACAAAGCAGAATTTTGAAAATTTCAAAACTTATACAAACAATTTTCTGCTTAGAAATAGAAAACTTGTTACTTCACATGTATGAGCGCCTGGTATTGGGAAATGAAAATATCAATTTGACAATTTGACTAGTCATAAAGACAGGTCGCGGGAAAAAGGACACACAGTTTTGGATATTTAAAAAATGTACATAATATGTATGTACATAAATCATGTATGTATATGTATGAAAGATTCGAACTTTTTTGCAAATATTATAGCGTCCGGTGAGAAATGTAAAACATTATTTTAAGTATATATTGGAATAAAAATAAAGTGTATGTATGTCTTTTCTTAACATTATGTTAAATGCTAACATTTAAAAGAAAAACCTTCATAAGTATTCCTATACTTCCTAGGAAGTTTTCAAATACTACTGAATGCAATCAACATACTCAAGTACTCTGGAAAAGCGGAACAGTGTTTTATGTAGCAGAGCTCTGTTGAGTAACATTGATCAGTTCCTCAAATTTACGATGTTCGCTATTTTTGTTCCTATCTTTTTAAGTACTCTAAAATATATGTTCCATTTACTCATGTACACATATGAAGAGTATTTCTGCTGGTATATTTGCAGTGCTTTAGTTGATATGTATTTTTTTTTTTTTTTTTTCTTGTAAAAAACATTTCAATTTTATTTTTAATTTTCTTTTTTATTCTACAAGCTTCCGGCTTAACAAATCTTTATATTCAAGCTGAATTTTTTGAATGAACCACAGCAGAAATATGTAGTTAATACTCTACTAATAGGCGAATTGGCTATCGACACGTGGCAATTTCTCCTCCTGAGTCACTACATGCCACCATTTTGTATGGAATTTTCTTCGTATGCGTTGTGTTCGTCATCGAATTCGACATCGTCATCGACGACAGCCTCCTGTGAAATAAAAAGAAATAAAAAAATAGTGGTAACATTCAAATGCTCGTTCGGAATAGCAGCTACAACTGTAAAATCATTCGCAATGGCAATGTTAGCAGACACAAAGTAAAAATCCACCATGGCCTGGGCTAACAACCAACAATCACAAGCAATTTTTAATTAAAAGCAATCAATTTTCGCATCCGTTTATACACATTCGTTTCCACGTTTCCATAAACATAAACATGCAGGAGCAACATACCAATATCCACTTCCTCATAACATTCACATTCATACACATATACACCTATGTATGTACATCCGTTGGCAGAAGTGCACATTTTGTACCTGATACTGTTGATATTCCGAAATCAAATCGTGCATATTCGATTCAGCTTCGGTAAATTCCATTTCGTCCATGCCCTCACCGGTGTACCAATGCAGAAACGCCTTGCGCCGGAACATGGCTGTAAATTGCTCCGCTATACGCTTGAAGATCTCCTGTATGGCTGTGCTATTTCCGATGAATGTGGCGGACATTTTGAGGCCACGTGGTGGTATATCACAAACGGCCACCTTTACATTATTCGGTATCCATTCAACAAAGTAGCTGCTGTTCTTGCTTTGTACGTTTAACATTTGCGTATCGACCTCCTTCATCGACATCCGACCTAAAAAAGAGTAGCAGCATAATTTCAATAATGAGATATGGCAAGTAATATTGAATAGTTTTTTTTTTCTTAATATAATTCACATTTTATTTGTTAATTGATGGCTTTGTTCGGTTCAAATCAAGCGAAAAAAAAATCGACCGGTGACTTTTGAAGATTAGTGAGCTGCGTGTTCAAAAACAAAAGTTTCGTTAGCGGCTAATGTCGCGAAAGCTAGGCAGTTCAGGAGCATATGGTGAAGATGATGACACTTCATCATCCCTGATGAGGAGATGTTGAGCCTAACCGACTGGATTTTAAACGGACTATGAGTAGTTGATAATACCAACAGTAACGAGAGTTATGGTGTTTTTTTAGCAAGCTTCAGGAGCTTCTTAGAGCCCTTCTTAGAAAAACTTAGTCACCTTGCCCACGTATCCAGGTGAAGACCACCTACGCCATTCCGATACTCAGCCAATACCCGCCGCAAAATAGATTTGCTGAACGATAAGTAAAGGTATCCCCTACAATAACAATAATTTACTGCCGCATTTTACCTAAATATTACATAATTCGAAATCAACAGAAAGCGATTTTTAAAGGTGTCGGTGGGCATTTGAAATTTTCCATGTAAATAATATGAATATTTCGACGAACTGATAACCTCCTCCTTTTTTTGAAGTCGGTTAAAAACAAATACTAATTCAGGAATATTTTTTAATAGGGTTCCCACTTAGGTTGCCACTTATTTTCTATTCCACAAAATTTAACTAAAATAAATTAATATGCATATGAAATGAAAGATATTTTTGAGTGCCAAGTGTAATATCAATTTGTATCTTACTAATTTCAATGAGCATTTTTTAATGTAGGTACTAGGGATGTTAATTTTTCAGCTTTTTCCGATCCCGAGATTTTCGGGATGTCGTTATGCCAATCCTAGGAAGCTCTCCTACCATAAAATAAATAATAAATAAATGGGTTTGAAACCTTCTTTTTTATTTAAAGTGGCGTTTTTATTTTTTCTCTCTGATGTCAGGATTTATTTTAAAGGACTTTGTAATGCAATGAAGAATAAAAATATGGATACCAAACGCAAGAGAAAATTTCTCTAGAATTTAAAAGAAAAATTAAAATTTTTTGGAATGAATTTTTTAAATCAATTTTAAATTACTGGCGTCAGAGTGAAAATACTACAGTGTTATATGTATAGTAAGCTAGACATTCATAAAAAATATTAATTATTGAATAAAAAAAGAAATATAGCCAATACTGTTCAAGAAAAGGAGTTTCTATTATTGCCATCCGTGCAAATTACAAATCCCGATTTTTGGGACCTTAAAAAGGCCGGGATTAACATTCCTAGTAAGTACATATCGTACCTACATATAGAAAGGCTCTAACTCATATAGTCGTTGAAATGCAAAAAATCCGTAGCTTACTAGGTACAATATTTTATTGCTTAAAATGGTGTGCGGACTTAAAATTCGATGAAATGCATCTTAATAAATCAAAAAAGGAATTTTGGTAGTTGCGGCTTTTTGTATTTTAGCGAGATAGGGCCTTTCTATATTAAGGTAACGATATGAAGGTATTACAAAAAAAAAGCAAACAGCGTTGATTATCACAAAAACATATTTACAATTCCCTAATTTTAAATTGCTGCTGTTGTCACCTTTTCCACCGCAATTTCACAGCGTTGTGCAGCAAAAAAATATAAATAAATAAATACATTTCGCAAACATCTAAATACCTGCCGCCACGTGCATTTCGTTTCTATGCTTCCAGTTCCCGCCTATCCTTTGAGACGCGTTTAATGTCTTATTCAGCGTTTTGGCTTTTTGACATGGCAACGTGCGCTGCCCTTTGACAAGCATCCGCACCTAATTCATTCAGTTTATGTAAGTTTGTAACCTACAGTCTTAGCTCAGCTCATCTGTGCTAAGCTCAAGTCAGCTTGGCTCAGCGTTCGTAAAATTTTACTATCGTCGACAAAAGACAAATGAAAATGTTGCTTTGCGTCAAGCAAATCTCTGAAGTCAACTGTAAATGTTTTGGCATATTTTTTACTTTGCACACAGTTTTTGATTAATTATTTGGCTTCCCTTAACCATGCATATCTGTGTGCAGGTGTTTCAACATTACGGTCGTATTGTGTCGATGTCTACATAGGTGAATTGCTATTATGTTTAACAAATTCGCAATGGTTTTTAATAAAATTTTAAATCCATTTATAGCCTATTTGTTTTGCTTTCGTTGGCTTATCCCAAATGGTGGAATTTTTCATGAAATTTTCTTTGGCTGAAGTGGTTTCATGGCTCATGGTTAATGGAATAGCGAAGCTCTGAACTTATTTTCAGAAGGACTGACAATTTTGGTAACTTACAGCGATATTGAAAGAATGGGCTACTAGCACTAATCAAAGGATTGAATTTAGAAGCCTGACAAGCTTAAATCATACTTTACAAACATTTACCCGACACCGAATGATGTTTTCGAGCTACATTATTATTATTTTCTTTCGATAATACGAAGATATGCAAGTTCTTTACCGAAATGGGAGAACTCTACACTGAGAAAAAAAAAACGCGTTGTAAGAATAAAAAAAATTTATTTGATTACCGTTTAAAAATGTTCGTTTTTAAATCAAGTGAAAATTCTTAACAAAATGGATTTTTTCATCATACATACACTACGTATAATGGAAATATTCAAATCAAATACGCCCGTATTGAAATGAAGCATTTTCACTGCACGGATTCTTTTTCATATGTAATTAAGAAAGCATATGTATACAAAGCATGCAAAGCGGTGACAACACATACATACATACATATGTACATACATGGTACGACATCATTAGGGCTGCCAGACGTCCCGGTTTTCCCGGACATGTCCCGGTTTTAGACTATTTGTCCCGGTGTCCCGGCCCAACCTTAAAAAGTCCCGGGTTTCATTTTAGTGTCCCGGTTTTTGAGTTGATTGTACAAATTTGAATAAAAGTTCAAAAATCACTACACTAAGAGAAAAAACGCGTTTTAATATTCAGAAAAATGTTATGAATTCACTGAGGGAAATAACGCATAGTAAACATGAATATTTTCTATTGGATTTTCGTTTAAAAATGTTCGTAATTAAAAATAATACTTTCATAACACGCACACGTGGTGTTGATTCAAACTCAACATTTAAATGCACATTTACACGTCTGGCTGTAGCTGAGTGCGCGAAGATGCTTGCCACAATTTTCTAATTTCCAGACGGTCAGGGTTCAATTCCCATTATAACCAGCATGGAATTTAAATACTTTTTTAACTTAATTATGAAAAAGCAATCGGTAATTGCAAATCGCTTCATTTTAATATGGGCGTATTTGAATTGAATATTTTTATACTAAATACTAAAATTTGTATACTTAAATGTATTACGAATTGAGTTGGTGCTCTTTCATATGCGTATTTTTTTAATTTAGCACGCTTTTTTAATTCTAAATTTCTTTCTCTCAGTGCACCGGTTTAATTGCGAAATAGTCACATTTCGAGATAGTTGAACTTTGCACAAGCAATGGTTGATGATTAGTATATGTACCTAAATACGTTCAAAATTACGTGCACAGAGTTTTACAATTATATTAAGGAAAAGACAGAAGTTTTGAAACAAGTTCATAAATATGACTGATATTTTAAAGTTATCTTGTACTTAAATTTTGTTCTTTCATGAATACTGGAGTACATATAAGTACAGTGCCGTACAAAATTATTGGCTCATAGGCTCTTTCATCAGATCATAATTTCTAATCAGATCTTTTAGAAAAATTTTCAAAATGTAGCTTTTGAGCCAATTAATAAAGTGCAAGTCTGAAGTTGCCAGCAACTTTCGTTGATTTTTAGCATTTATTGTTTTTTGCTGACAGTGTCTTCCATATAAAAAGAATTATCGAACATAGTTTGTATAGAAGAAACTTTCAGTAAAAACAATACCAAAAATTAACTAAAATTTAATGGGCTGCAAAACTCCATTTTAAAAATTTTTATAAAAAGTCTGATTAGAGTGTTGCAAATTTGTATGCAAATTTATTGAATTTTTCCCGAGATTACCACAAAGTTTAACAATTTTATTTTTATGTTTTTTCATACATTTAGAATAAACTGTATTTTTATAAAGAATAAAAAAAGGTTCATGCATTGTGAAAAATTCTCTGTGCTTTAGTTGTGATAAGTTGTTTTGTTTTGTTGGCGTACGTTGTAATGATCTCATGATGTCATGTTTTTATGTTTTTATTTTTGTCTGTCAAAATAAAATTTTACTACATCCTTTCGCACGTCGAAATGAAAGAGAAGGGAGCGAGAGGCCCTCCCTAAAGTGTCCCGGTTTGGCAACAGAGATATCTGGCAGCCCTATGTGACATCATGCACTAATCGCGCGCTGTGATGTTGATTCAAACTCAACATTTGAAAACTCATTTACATGTATGGCTGTAGCTGAGTGTGCAAGGATGCTTGATACAATTGGTTGCTACCAAGAGCGTCCGGGTTCAATTACCATCAGACGGAACATAAAATTAATTTTTTTTCTTCTTTTTATTTTAATTTCGTATAACGAAAAAGCTTCTGTGCACTTCGCAACGACATATTTTATAACGTACATTCTCAAATTTAAAACGAATTGGGTTGGTACTCTTTCATATGCGTATTTTTTTAAATTTAGCCCGTTTTTTTTAATTCTAAAATTTGTTTCCCTCATTGCAGTAAGGGAGCAAGCAGTTCCTAGTAGGGTTCTACAGACGTCAGAACCCGAACTTGCTTGAGCTGAAGTACCAGGTCCAGCACTACGTATAGTACTCCTGGGACTGGGACTGTACAGACAGCCTATTAACGGCATTTACAGATAGGCTGTTACCACCTACACAAACTTCAGTCGAGTAAATGCCGTCATCGGTGTACAATCAACACCTCTGAACGAGAGTGAGCTTTAACTGCCACGAGAGACCCTCGTAAATCTGGCACGACTTGCCTCCCAAC